GGATGGATGGATGGATGGATGGATGGATGGATGGATGGATGGATGGATGGATGGATGGATGGATGGATGGATGGATGGATGGATGGATGGATGATTTAAAAACTAAAAGGGCCATAAATTGCACATCAAACTGTCATTACTGTCTCTTTTGAAGCAAATTGTTCTAATAAGTCATAAAAACACTAAAGTTCAGGTTATACACTGCAGTTTGTGTTAAATTCCTTATAATTTTTTTATTTAAACAAGATAGTTTTATTTTATAGCTATGATTTAAAGCTGAGAAGATTCCTTCCATTTAAACTCGGATAATATCAATAAAATTGAAAATCCACACTGAAAAAAAATAAGTATTTTTTTCCCTTTTTTATTTCATTTTTTTAATTTAAATAAACAAACACATAAATGGGAAGTGCAACTGCACTTGATTTTCCTCCTTTTTTGTCACGCTTTAATTTAAATGTGTGAAACTTTTTACTGCGTCCAAAGAAAGGAGCTGCAGTTTTCCGGCCTCATGTTCACGCAGACAGAAGCTGACAAACTGAAACAATCAGTCATTATAAAAAGCTTTAACAGAATGAGGCGTTTTTCCTGCAGCGGCGGAGCAGAGAAGCTCTGGGAGGTTTACAGCTTTACGGGTTTTGGAGACGTCTGGAAACAGGAGGAGGTCCCCGGCTGCGCAGAGGAGGCAGGACTTTCTGGCTCCGCGGTGCGCTCCCGACACCAGGTCCATGAGAGGAGGAGGAGGAGGAGAAGCAGGTCGGGTTTTAACACCGCGCGGACACGCAGGTTCCAGTCCACTCTTCGCTCCGGGACGGTCTACATCTCTCCAGCATCCTTGCGCGAAGCGGATCTGTGAGCGCAGACAGACCGAAACCTTTTTACGCACCGATCCGACGGGAAGTTCAGAGCTGCAAGTGTCGCTCCATCTGAGCGCAGGTCTCCTGTTCTGATGTCAGCTTTCCTCTGGGTCGTCACGTGAGCGGGATTTGGGGACTGATTTTTGCTTCTCAGCACGGAGTCAGCCGCGGTGTCTCCTGCCTGCCGGCGCGTCTTTGTCATTTTAATGCGGCTGTAATTATCGTCGCTCTGCCTTCAGAACAAAGTGAGGAGTTTACCTCCGGGCTTCTGCACGTTTGAGAGGGAACAGACACGGCGTGGATTTCAGTAATTAAAACTTTTTGATCCTGAAGGTTTTTTTTTTTTTTTTTTTTTTTTTTGAGAATGTTGCTCCGCTGCTCGAAGTCCTCCTCCTGGTCCACCTGTAGGGTTTTCTTCTGCTTTTTGTGGTTCCTCCAAACGCCCCGGTCTTCCTCTCCGTTAATTACAGGTAAGCTTAAAGGAATATGGCTTCATAATAACACATCCCGACACCCACTGTGCGTAAAAGCTTCTGAAGCCGCTCACTGCTCAGGCTGCTGCCGCTGCGCCTCTGCGCTCCAAGAGAAGCGCTCCAAAAAAAACTGAAGCTGCTTCAACTCCTGGACTCTGTCATCATGATGATGAGGTTCTCATGGAAGCAACAAATAAACACAAAAACAGGATGCAATTTATTTAAACCTGCTATTTGCATTGGGATTAATTTTACCTTTTTTCATATTTCGTAAGTAAAATAATACATGCACCTTAATGTCTTAAACTTGCAGAAAACAGACGCTTTTCCTGCCAACCCGAGTTAACTGAAGCAGTTTTCCATCATGACGGGATAATTTATACCAAACCTAAAAAAAAGAGAATAATTAAAATTTTAAAATGAAAGGTTCGCATAATCTTGTGTTTTATTCCCTTCAAATTACTGTTTGCAGCACTTTGGGTTATAATTAAATCTTTTTTTTCTTTAATTAAAAGCAGAAGCATTTTTCTTAATGGGCTCAGCGGCACTGCCTCCAACCTCAGCTGAATCCCTGCATCTCTGTGATGAACTGAACATCTGCTGAGGAAACAAATGCACTCAATTAATGTTGTTTATTTTATTTCTAATGAGCCTTTAAAGCGCTTCCATGCAGCTGTTGATTTAAGTAAAATGTTATTTTTGTAGAAGTACAAAGAAGGAGTGAGAGCAGAAACTTTCAGGACTCAGAACTGAACACCAGAAAAAGCTCACAAGTTGAAAGTCAGGAAAGTTTTTTTTTCCTTGCCTTGGCTTTTTTCTTGCTGAACTGAAGATGAGAGCAAACCTGCACCAGATGTTCTTTTTTTTTCCTCTGTCAAACATGTGATATGGGCAGAAATGAGCAGCAGGATTAGTGGTTAGCACCGTTCCCTCACAGGGAGACTGGTCCAGGGTTGAAGACCCGGGTTGGGCTTGGGCCGTGAATTTTCTCCTGTTTTCTTCCCACAGTCCAAAACAGGTAGGCTGCAGGTCCAAGTCTCTCTTGAAACATATATCTGTGATTTCAGTGGGAATTGTCTGGTTAGATAAATGCAAACAGCTTTAAATAAAGATGAACTGTCAGAATCAGCTGTGGAGAGATTCCTTCCTAAAGCATCCTAAAAATGTTGTTATCTCTCTGACCTGCTGCAGAGCTGAAGATTTGTGAGCTCCTGAGGTGTTTGGACAGTAAATCTGTACAGCAGCATTTAGCCTGTGACATCCCCTGACTTTCCCTGCAATGAGTAGCTTTGGGCACCAAGATGTTCACATTTGACCCGTCACATGAGAACATCATTTGTCTGGGCCAACCCTCGTGGACGTTATTTTTAGTGTGTTTTTTATTGGATAAACTTATATTTCCTTCGCCCAGTTTCTGTTAAGTGTCTTGGATCTCTCAATTTAGTTACAAAATTCAATATCTGATTTGTATTACTGAAAAATGCAATTGATAAAAGACTTTTTCTCAGAGCAGAATGAAGTGAACTCATATTTTTTAATCCTTTATAAGACTCCGATGCAGCAATTCCCATCAGTTGTGTAATTTTCTACAGAAAAGCTTTTGTTATTCAGAGAAATGGGATACTTGATATGTTTTTGTGTGGGTTATTTTTCTTATTACCTGAAGTGGAAAATATGATACATCGTTGTCCACCTCCTTTCTTTGACAGGATATTTAAACATTTTCTGAGAACAACACAAGCTAAAGGCTGAGGGCTGAAGGATAAAGTTAAAATAAGCAAAACAACAGCTAAAATCAACTCATGAATAAACATTGACTTGTATAAGAAATATTAATTATTTTCCTTTAATGAAAGCTAAAAACATATGTGAAGATGTTGGGTGTGGGTTGAACTGGATTCAAGTCATCCTGTTTTTATCTCACTCTGATCAAACTAATGAATTTCTGTTCCTTTGTGAGATTTGAGACAATTAGTGCAGCGTTTATTAAAGTGTCAAATATCTGAGTCTGACTGAACAGCATCCTCTTCTTATTTTTGTCTCAGTTTCATGTATTTATTTTCTCAGGGTGCATTCAGGTCATCTGTTTATCTTCTAACCTAAAAAAGAGATAACTGGAAAGGATGTCCTGAAGGTGAATAATTAGCAGAATTTGAGTGTTTGAGGAAGCTACAATCAGTGCCACCTTTAACTCTGTAGCAGGAAAAACAACAGAAGAGGAAAGTCTGTTCCCTGCTGCCTGCACCCCCCCCCCCCCCAACACTTACAGCCCTGCCTGTTTCATTGCCCTCAAAGGCTGTAAAGTTTACAGAGGTGGTTCGTCTGCTCTGCCCGAATCCACAGGCTGGTTTTAACTGCTGAAGCCAGACAACACAACTCGCTGCTACCAGGATTTATTCTGATTCCACCTGAAACATGTGATCTTTCTGAAAGCATTAACTTCGAATCAAAGAAAACAGCAAAGCTTTTCCAGGCAGTGACTTTAGTTTACTGTTGGGACGTGCGTTCGGTAGGGGTGGTTCAATGTCTTGATGATATTAATGGGACGGATGTCATCGCACGGGAATGAAATGATTCATTTTCCACCACGGCTCATTTGATTAATTCCACAAGACACAGAATGTGTTGTTGGTGCAGAACGTTGTCACCAAACACAAACTCAGAGGAATTTTAGCTTGAGAACTGTCACTAAAAATCTAAAAAATGAATTGACAGCTCTGTAGCGGCGCAGACGACCTGTCAGACAAGACAAAAAAATACATTAATAAAGTATTAATGTAAAACTTAGCTTCGTACACTAAGATGTCAGGAAGAACCTGACAGATATAGTAAAGGCCTTTTTAGAAGAAAGAAAATTGAGATATTTCAAGTATTTACAACAACCTGTGGCCTTAGAGTCAGGTTCATTCAAATTTAGCTCAAGAAAAGAAATGACTGATTCATCAACATCCCTCTAACTAGGGCTGTGTATTGGCAAGAATTTGGCGATACGATAATATCATGACAGAGGGGTCACGATACGATATATCCCGATATATTGCGATACTATAAGCAAGGCGATATATTGAGATATATTGTGATTTCTTTTGTCCAAAATTTATATTAAATAAAAACCTCTTACTGGGGGGAAAAATGAAATACCAAAATTTATTGTCTCAGAAAATTCTAATATTACATAGACATACTTTTGATACATTTAGCTGTGTTCTGCTTTGTATGTGTTTTATTTTATTTGTTTCATTTTTCTTATTTCATCCATGTTTTCAATTATTAGACTCAAGAGGTAGAGGAACCAAATGGCTGGTTCACTGCTGCCAACTAGTGGTCAGAGGCTGAACTACAACATAAACATGAACGGCTGGCAGGAAAGTTGACATTTTAAACC